ATAAAGGCATGCTACCCATCTACAACTACAAAAAAGAATTAAAAACAAATAAATATTATGTATTAATTTTTTGGTATGTTAATTAAAAGCTAATTTTTAAACAATATAGGCAAAGATATAAGATAATAAAGAAATTCAGTTTAAAAATGAAAGAGACTACAAGGAAAGTATAAATATGCAATAAAATATTACTTGGAAAATATAAAAACATTTCTCAAGGAAGAAGAAAAACACAAATAAGAAATACAGCTAGGAAACCAATCCAAGTTCTGGGTATAGCTGAGTGGCAGATCACTTGCCTAGCCTGCATAAGGCCAGGAGTGTGTTTCCCATAACAGAAACAAAGGGAGGGAAGGAGGAAGGGAAGAAGAAACTAAGCCAGAGTCAAGGACTCTACTTTTCCCCATTTTACTAGGAAAAATTTCAAACACAAACGAAAGTATAATGAGTAGTTAAATGAAACCCATTTCACCATAACTCAGCTGCAATAACTATCAATAATCCCATTGACCAATATGCCTCCACTTATAACTTCAATTAAAAATAATTACCAGATACCATACTATTTTGTCTATAAACACTTCTCTAGGTACTTCAATAACAAAATAATTAAACTTAAAAAAAAACCTTATTGGGTATCCTGTTAAGTGCCTGGATCTCTCCTCATAAAATTTTTTATAGTTATTCAAGTCAGGATTCCAGTAAATTCTAAATGATTTGCATGAAATTTATGTTCCCCAATTTTTAAAAAAATCTGTAAAAACCATCTTTCTTCTCTTTCTCCCCATTCTCATATATTAGTTGAAGAAAATGAGTTATCTGTCATGTAGAATTTTTTATAATCTGATTCAGGCATGGTGGTACATGCCTATAATCCCAGCAATTCAGGAAGCTCAGGCAGGAGCATCACAAGTTCAAGGCCAGCCTCAGCAACTTAGCAAGGCCCTCTGCATATGAGACTCTGTCTCAAAATCAAAAATAAAAAGGGCTGCGGATGTGGCTCAGGGGGTAAGCACCCTTGGGTTCAATCCCCAGTACCAAAAAAAATTTGTATTATAATCTGAGTTTGGTTGATAGCACTTCCTTGAGTAATTAACATATTTCTTTGCCTATTTTTTTTTCTTAACCTGGCTCAATTAAATTTAGGTTTGACTCTTTGGGACATATATGCAAATGCATCATAGTCAGAGGCTTAACATGCTTGTTTTTTTTCTCTTTCTATAGAAAATGAAAGATTTATTGATAGGTATCAACTTGCTCCACCCACTATAAAGTTCTCCATTGACATTTCATTCAATAATAATAACTCACTGCTGAGTTGCCTGGATCCATGTTTATTTAGTTAACTGCAAGAAGATAATTTTCTAAATTCTATCATTCCTTCTGCATTCATCAGCTGTAATTCTTCAACACTGAACCTACCATGATCCACTATCTGATTTGTCTAACACAATTTATCCATAAAAGGCAAGTTAATTGCCCGATTCTTTCCCTTTATTTACCTATTTGTTCAGAATAATGAACTGGTGCTTTAGTAATCTCTAAATTATTTGTACAGTCTCCATACTAAGCTTTTGGATTTAAATATATTTATTTTAATCCACTGTACTCCAGTCCTTTTTATAACTTCCCATACTAGATAAATAATGATCCCTCTATTGTTGCTCCTCTGTTCTTATTAAACAAGTTTTTATTAGTACATTGTAATTATATGTAACAGTAGTATTCATTATGACATATTCATATATGCCAAAAACTTGCTCCATTTCACTCCCCATTACTTCCCTTTTCCCCTTTCCTCTTCCTTCTCCCTGACCTTCTTTCTTTACTTTAATGGTCTCCCTTCTATTTATTTATTTTTAATTGGTGCACTGTATATAAAAGTGAGATTCTTTGTGAATATTCATACATGTGCAGAGCTTAATTTGGCTACTTCATTCCCTTTTTGTCCTTTCTCTCCTTCTCCCTCTCTGTTTCCCTAGATCTATTGTTTTCCCTTCTATTTTCGTGGTTTCCCCAGCCTTTTAAAAAATTTTTTATTTTTATACTTTAATTTTCTTTTTTATGTGGTGCTGAGGATGGAACCCAGACCTCGCATGTGCTAGGTGAGCACTATACTACTGAGCCACAATTACAGCCCTCCCCAGCCTTTTAAAAAATTATTATTATTTTTCTCTCTAGATTGTGCTTATGAGAGAACATATTCTATTCTTGACTTTAAGTTTGTGGCTTATTTCAATTATCATGATGTTCTCCAACCATTCATTTATCAGCAACTTAAATCATTTCATTCCTATCAGGGCTGAGCAGAACTCGTGTGTGTGTRTATGTGTGTGTGTACACACGTTTATCCATTCATCTGTTCACAGATGCTTTGGCTATTATGAATTGCACTACTATAGACACTGGAATGCATATATCATTAGAGTATATGACTTCAGTTCTCTTGGATAAATACCAAGTAGTAGAATAGAGTGGGTCATATAGTGGTTCTATTCCTGGTCTTTTGAGTAACCTCCATACCAATTTCCACAGTGGATGTACTAATCTGTAGTCCCACAAACAATGTATAAGTATTCTTTCTCCTCATATCCTCCAACTCTTTGTCAGCAATTATTTTTTTTTTGTATTCTTGATGACTGCATTCTAATTGGAGTAAGATAAAATCTCAGTTTTGATTTGCATCTCCCTAACCTTCTTACATGACCTCAGTAAATTCTGGAAGCTTAATTCTTCATTATCACAAGATGCTGTACTACAGTAGTTCTCGAAGTTTGATTCCAGTACCAGGAATGTCCTTGAACCAAACTTCGAGAACAAGAATGTCATCGTCACCTATGAAGTTACTAGAAATGCAAATTCTTGCAGCTTAAGCAAACTTACTGAATCAGACCTTAAGGTCTGGACCCAGCAATCTAAGCTTGAAAAGGCCTCCAGGTGAATTCAAGGGACACTATAATCTCAAACCCACTGATCTAGAGATCTAGGTTTAGAATACACATGTCCAGCTCCAATTCTGGAATCAGCCATTTTCTCCAAGAATCCCTAGCTCCTTTCAGGCATGAACTGTATTTAGAGAATATAGTCTAAGGCTAGGAAAACTCACTACCACTGGACTATTATATGTAACAGCATGATTTTAAAATATACATAATAGTAGTTAGTAAAAGAACTGAGATCAGATCCTAAGTATCTTAATTGTAGGCCAGTCCTCTTTTCACTTTCTCTGAATGAAATATATCCATTTCCTTAGTAGCTAAAAATATGGCCATCAGCTATCACAGGGACACACCTTGGAAAAGTCAGTCAGAGTTCAAGGAGGGAGGTTAAACTGAAACACTAGAAACAGATTGAATTGTTAACCAATTTCACAAAACAAAATGATACCAATTCAGACTTGTGAGCAATGAAATAATTTCCTGTAAACATGCTACTGAAATCGTTAGGGGATAAAAAACCTTCCTCAACACACAAAATACTCTAAAGTAATTTAAAAAGCAAACATGTTATTTTTTAAAATGCAAGCAATAACAGAAGAACTTTTAACACAAATTAAGACAAATTTAAATTTAAGACAAATTGAATATATGGTCTCAAAATGTGGATAAATTAAGCACAAAATTCATGAGAGAAAAAGCTACCATTGGGGGGAAAAAGTGAGGAGATTTGAATTACATTAACAAATGAAAATTCAAGATGTGGAAAAAAATACTTGACATCACTAGTAATCAGAGAAATATAAAATAAATTCTTTTACATTCATCAGATTTGTATTTTTTAAATGAGGAAGTGAAGGAGGAAGAGAAAAAATGCTAATATTAACCATTGTTAATATTAACAATTGAAAGGGTGAGGAAAAATTGATGATGCTTCTTTTCAAAAGTTGGTGCATTTGAAGTAATTTATCTTTCTGTAAGAAGTATATCAGTAAAAGTTATATAAAAGAGAAACCAAAAAAATCCGAGTTTCCAAGTTTAGAATGCACTTGTTGCAAAGCCTAAAATCAGTTTCTAGAAAATAACTTCTCCACATCTCTCTAGTCAAAATTGTGTGACTGTGCAATTATGGTATACATACTATATTATATCCAAAGAGAAGCAATATCACAGCAGTTTAGCTGTCATACCAGGAGTTTTAGAGGATTCCAGCATGTTTATGGGATTCCCTAAAACCTAAACCTTCTTTCTAAGGTATTACTGCCAAGAAAAAGAGGACAGTCTGCAGATGAGAAGTCCCAGATAAAAATCACAGCCAAGTCACTTAGAACATTGTGTGCACTTAGGTAAGTAATTCAGTGTCTTTGTTTTCCTATTTGCAAAATGTGCACAATACCACTGTATTATTGTGAAGGTTAGAGAAATGTATGACCAGGGCCTACTTTAAATACTGGGAACCTAATTGGCACTTACATGGTAGCTGCTACTATTGTAATTTATTCTGGTTTAATATCATCACTCCATCAAAGAAGAAAAAAATATGTCCTCTATGACTGTGAAATGTACTCTCTAAATTGAATATGTTTTTTAAAAGGAAGGAAGGAAGGAAGGGAGGGAGGGAGGGAGGGAGGGAGGGAGGGAGGGGAAATGGAGGAAAGAAATATGGAAAGAAAAGAAAAAGGGAAATGGAAAAAAGGAAGAAAGCCACAAACTAAGATCAACAATGGTCTTTAATGAACAGAAATGGCAAACAGTTATACTAACAACCCTATAGCTTAATATAACCCACTCATTAAACTGACATTGAACTTACCAATTAGGTATGATCAACTTGAAGCAAGATGAACTTTCTCCTATGCTGAGGTGTCCTCACAAAACTGTGGAATAAAACTTGCCTTTTCTATTTAAAGCCATTCCTTTATTGCTAAAAAGTTGATCTGACAGGAAGGCAGCAAGCAGGGTTAGAAAGAGAAAAAAGAGGAGGATAAAGATGAAGAGAAAAACAACATGCAATTAAGGATCAAATCTCTTCACCCAATCCTCTCAGACTCCGTATGCTCTGACCTGCAGCTGCTGGGAGCTGTCGTTGAGATTGTCTTCCCTCCGCCGGGCCTCCTCTAACATCTGTGCACTCTTCTTTTTCTCCACCTGTTCCTTGTGCTTCAGATTTGCTACCTTCTTATTCTGGTCTTTCACTTGCCTATTGATAGAGGGAGAAAAATCAAGCTTTTTCATATATGTGCACAGAAAGAATATGCTATGTACAAATTTACACCAACAAAATCCAACAAAACTTCTTGGTGCAAGATTTTTTTGAACAATTGGTTTTTTTCTTCATATATATGTGTGTGTATATGTGTGTGTGTGTATACACACACATATACACACACATAAACACACACATATATATATATTTAGTTACAGATGAACACAATATCTTTATTTATTTATCTTTATATGGTGCTAAGGCTCGAACCCAGTGCCTCACATGCTCTAGGCAAGCACTTTACCACTGAGACTCAGCCACAGGCTGGATTTTTTTCAACAATTCCAAATTTTTCCCTATCAAAGATAATACACTGTATACAATGATGTTCCAGTTTTCCTGTAAGGAGAATATATTTCAGCACATACTTTATCAAGCATGACAAAATTATAAAACAAAAGAAAAGCATGAGAGGATCTGAAGTGATAGAGAAACCAAGTCAACCATTTATGTTGAAAATAATGGAAGCAGCCTCCTTACATTGTCACACAGATGTATTATTATGACTCATTAACAAAGGTTTTGAAATATAACATGAATTTTCCCATTATTAAATCAATATTTCAAGCATTCAAAATGGTATATATAATATACATGTATCTGAAAATAATGGCATCAAGATCTAAGAACTCAGCTTAAGAATTAGAACATTCTAAAGCTAGGACTATATAACTCAGTGGCAGAGCATTTGCCTAGCATGTGTGAGGCACTGGGTACAATCCTTAGCATCACATAAAAATGAAACAAATAAAGGCATGCTACAACTATAAAAAAATTTTTTTTTAAAGAACATTCTATCTACTTCTGAAGCTTCCATTGTACCACTTTCATATTCCAATGACTATTATTACTCTATCCTCCACTGGTAAGAGTAATCTCTATGTTAAATTCTGGGTTTAAAATCTCCTTGTTTTTATTAAAGTTTTGCTACATATACATGGACCCTTCATTTATAGTTTGCCAATTTTTGAGTTTCATAAAATTTACCAATAAATTATTTTTTCCTTTCAGTTTGTGTTTTGAGAGTGATACTTAGTTTTCTTAATCCCCTCAATTTTTTTTTGCAATATAAAACAATGTATATGATAACTGTTTTAGCCCATTCCCAAGGTGATGGATAACTGGGTTGTTTCCATTTCTTGCTATTATAAACAATGCTGCTAGATACAATCTAATAGAACTATGCAAGTTTCTCTAGGATTTAGGTCTAAAAACTCAACTGCTTAGTCCATACAGTAGGTACAACTTACATTTGTTTCAAGGTTTTATTAACTTACACTCTCACTAGTAGGTCATAACAATGACCCACTGACATTTGATATCATCAGACTTTAAAATTTTTCCTAATCTGATAAAAAATCGTATCTCAATATGGTTTTAAAATGCATGCTCCTGACTACTGAAGTTAAAAATATTCTCATATGGTATTTGGCCATTCCTGTTTCCACTTCTGTGACTTATATCTTTTGTCCATTGTTTAATTAAGACAACTTTTCTTTAATGACATACGATTACTTTATATATACACTAATAATTTTTTAACTGTCACATGTTATGGACTATGTTCTTCCAAATTATGAATTATTTCTTTGATTGCTTTATGATATCACTGCATTTATAGAATCTAAAAATTTTAATTGCTTCAAACATATCAATCTTCTCCTTTATAGAGTACAATTGTATGACAATCTTGCCCATTCCAAATTCATAAACTATTCCCCTAAAGATGTTACAACCTTGGTCTTTCACACTGAAGTCATTAACCCACCTGAAATTGAAGTTGAGTGGGCATGAAGTAAAGATGTAATTTCATTTTTTTGAGTATAGTGAAAGAATAAAATTTCATTTTTGTATGCATTAATAATGATTTGACCCAGCAATACGTCAAGCATTGTCACCTCTGTCAGACGTAAAGTTTTTATATACATGTGTGCCCAATTTGGGCTTTCCACTCTGATATGCTCGTATGTTTCTGAGCCAACTTTATACAACTGTAATTACTACAGCTTTATAAAAAGTCTCAATAAATAGCAAAGCAAGACTCCCTGATTTTTCCTCTTTTTCAGAACTATTCAGTGCATTAATCCTCTGGTAGGTATTAACTGGGTGGTAACTCTAAGCTAACAGCATGTGGATGGAGGAGGTGGGTCACTCTGGAGGCATGCCTTTGGGGGATATATTTTGTGTTTCTGTGTCTCTGTCTCTGTCTCTCTCTCTAGCTCATAAACTTTTCTTCCTCCAATTGTTCTTGTCAGGTCTTTTGGTCATGGCAGCAAAGAAGCTGACTAAACAAACACTGTGAAAAATCATACGTCAACAAGTTGGAAAATGCAAAAGAAATGGATAAATTTCTAGAGATGTACAGCCTACCAAGACTGAATCAAGAAGAAATAGAAATAGATGTAAAAATCAATAATGAATACAGAAAAAGAAGCAGTAATTAAAAAAATTCTCAAGGGAAAAAAGCTCAGAACTGGAAGACTTCACACATGAACTCTACCAAACATTAAATTAGAATAAATATTAAAAACAAAAAAAGTAGAATAAATAACCAATCCTTCTCAAATTCTTTGAAAAAACTGAAGAGGAAAAACATTTCCAAATTTATTTTAAGAGGCTAGCATTGCCTCCATACCAAAGTCAAATAAGAGCAGAAGAAAAGAAAATCATAGCCCAATATATCCTGGTAAACACAGATGAAAATCCTCAACAAAATACTAGCAAACCTAATTCATTAGAATATTAAAAAGATCATTCACCATGAACAAGTGGGACTTATCTCTGGTAGGCAAGGATGATTCAACATACACAATCAATAAATAGGATATACTACATGAACAGAACGAAAGGTAAAAATTACATGATCCTCTGAAAAGACTGAGAAAAAAAGCACTTGATAAAGCTAAACATTCTTTCATGATAAAAACTCTCAATAGATGGGCACAGTGGCACATGCCTGTGATCCCAGCAACTCAGGAGGCTGAGGCAAGAGAATCATGAGTTCAAAGCCAGTCTCAGCAACTTAGTGAGAACCTAAGAAACAGAGAGACCCACTTGCTAAATAAAAAATAACAAGGAGGGCTGGGGCTGGGGCTGGGGCTGGGGCACAATGGTAGAGTGCTTGCCTCACACATGTGATGCTCTGGGTTTGATCCTCAGCACCAAGTAAAAAAATAAATGAATAAGTAAAGGTATTGTGTCCTTCTATAGCTAAAAATAAATAAATAAATAGATAAATAAATAAATAGGATTGGGGATGGTTGTTAAACACCCCTGGGTTTAAGCCTCAGTAACAAAATAATAAAAAATAAATAAAAATTCTCAAATAAGGCATAGAAGTAATACACTTCAGTAAAATAAAGTCCATATATGATGAACCTATAGCTGACATTATACCCAAAGATGAAAAGCTGATATCTTTTCCTCTAAAATCAAGAACAAGAAAAGAGAGGCCAAAGCTGGGCATGGAGGTGCGCATCTGTAATTCTAGCCATTTAAGAGGCTGAGGCAGGACGATCACAACTTAGATATCAACCTCAGCAACTGAAAGAGACGGTCTCAAATTAAAATTTTTTAAAAAAGAACTGAGGCTGTAACTTAGTGGTAAAGCCCCCTGAGGTTCAACCCCTAGTCCAAAAATGAAAAAGAAAAGCAAAACATGTCCACTTTTACCACTTCTACTTAATCAGTACTGCAAGTTCTCACGAATTGGGTAAAATAAAAAAAAAAGAAATAAAAGGCATCCAAATAGGAAAACTTAAAAATTAAAGTGTATCAGTTTGCAGATGACAAAATCTTATATGTTAAAAACCCTGAAGACTCCATGAAATTATCAAAACTAATAAACAAATTCAATAAAGTTGCAGAACATGAAATCAACATAAAAATAAGTTACATTTCTATATAGTACACAATGATCTATCCAAAATAGACATGAACAATCTCATTTATAATAGAATCAAAGAGAGAAAAATACTTAGGAATAAATTTAACCAAAGAAGTGAAAGTCTGCATACCGAAATCTATAAGACATTGATGAAAGAAATTTTTCAAGATATAAATAGAAAGATAGTCCAAGTTCACGGGTTGGAAGGATTAATATTGTTAAATGTCTATACCACCCAAAGTTATCTATAGACTCAATACAATTCCTATCAAAATTCTAATGGCATTTCTCAGAGAAACGGGAAAACAAACAAACAAAACCAACACTACAGTTTATACAGAACCATAAAAGACCCTGAACAGCCAAAGCAGTCTTAAGTAAGAACAAAGCTCGAACCAACACACTTTCTGGTTTTCCCAACTATACTACAAATCTATAGTAATTAAAACACTGAAATACTGGCATAAAAACAGACACGATACACCACAGAACAGAATAGAGAGCACAGAAGTAAATCCATACATTTACAGTAACTTAATTTTTGACAAAGATGCCAGGAGGAACACATGAGAGGATAGTCTCTTCAATAAATGATTCAGGGAAAACTAAATATCTACATATAGAAGCATGAAACTGAACCTTTATCACACTGTACAAACAAAAATCAACTCAAAATGGATTAAAGTACTTTTAAAACTAAGATCTGAAACTTCATAAAGAAAACATAGTGGAAAAAAGCTCCTTGATAATGGTTTGGGCAATGATTTTTTTTTTCCTTATATGACACCAAAAGCACAGAGAACAAAGCCAAAATCAGACAAATGGGATTATATCAAACTAAAAAATTTCTACATGGCAAAGCAAACAACAGAGTGAAGAGCCAGCCCATATAGATTAGGAAAACATACTTGCAAACCATACATCTGGTAAGGAGTTAATATCCAAAATACATAAGGGGCTCAAAGGCAAAAAAACAAAAACAAAAACAAAAACAAAAAAAACCCTCAATTTAAAATGGACAAAGGATGCTGGATGCAATGGTGCACAT